CCGGGGCGGGAGGAGGGAGAGGAGCCTGGGAGACCCGCACCGTCGCCCTCCCTGCCTGCCGCCCCGCCCCGCATCCCACCCCAGCTGGCGGTCCCAGGCTTTGCACCTGGGCGGGGCGCGGGGGTGCGCTGCCTGCGGGCCCCGTGACCTATTTCGTTCCTGAGGTCTCCCTGGGGAGTCTCGGTCTCCAGCGGCCGCTTCTCCCCTTTCCCTAAAGTGCTAAGTTCACGGTCCAAAGAATCGCTTAGGGTGGTATTCAGGATTCCCCGCAGGGATGTGGGGCGAGCAGGTTAGCGGCGTGGATCCTTAAAGGAGAAAAAGGCTCAGCCAGCTCTTCTAGAATTGCCCTTGACCACGTTGTATCCCAATCCGAAAGGGGCTCCCCTTCCTTAGGTGTGTCCTGGACCTGGGTCATAGTTACTGTACCCCAGGAACATTGCCTTAACTGGGTATAAGGCGCTGCTACGTGAATTGTCCTCAGCAGCATCAAATGGCACTTATTAAGTGCTCCTTGGGCGGTGTTTCCACGTGGAAATCATTTACCGAGTTCCTGCAGAAGCTTCCCACAGATGCTGGCCCTAAACCAATTCATTTAGGTACCAGAGTGGCAGTATTAATTTCTTTTTCCATCCGAACACATCAGGAGGGTCTAAGCTTGAGAAACTGACAGCCTCTGGCTGCTTTTGATGAGCCTGTGTTGCCCTGGATACAAAAACCAGAGCACCCAGTAGATCTTAAGTTTAAAGATGGGAGAAAGAAAAGGCCTGATACCCAGGGCTTTCTCTGTCAGCAGAGAAGGTGTGCCCAGCTACCTGTCTTCACACTCGCTGAGGGGCTCGGGTAGGAATAGAGATGGCCCGCAGGACACAGGACCCTAGATCACACTCTGGCCATGCTGCTTCCCCCTGGTGCTCCCTGGCCTTCCTCCTCCTGGCCTCGCCGGCTCACCCACCCTGGCCGTCCCCTACCCCCTTTTCCCATCAGTCACCTCCAGCTTCTGCGGGGTCTCTCCAGCTCTCCCTAGGCCGGTTCTCAACTACAGATCAGGACTTCTGGGCCCAGATTCTGCATTTGCCACCTGCTCTCACAGCGACCATGATGCTGCTGGTTCATGGACCGCGCTTTGAGACAAGGCTGTATAGAGTTTTCAAAATTGCTTCTCTTTGGTGGAGAGTCACCAGACACCTGTACCTGCCGAGAACCACGCTAAGGGCTGAGCGTACCAAGTCAGTAAGACGTGGTCTCCCTACAGGCACGCACGGCCTGGTGGTGACAGACACATAAAGCCACAGTGACACCTGGCAGCAAACACCGTAATAAAGGGGTGTGCACCTCTCTCTCTCGATTGCTATGTGACGAATCAAAGCATTTTTAGAAATAACCGTTTAAAATCTAATAGCGGTTTCGGCACGCTGCCGTTCAAACTAGCTGCCAAAATTTTAGGCGCCTCATGTAGGTGGGGCAGTTTAGGGAGAGCAAAGGCAGACATTTGACTAGCCAGTGACAGGCCCTGAGCTCAGAGCTTCCAGGAGTGGCATTTATTCCCTCTTTAATATGTTTGGGAAATTGTAAACCTTCGAGCATGGCCTGGCGTTTTCACAGTCTCTGCCAACCGTGACTGTTTTGTGAGTAGGTTTCTGTGCCCATCTTAATGTGTGCACGAGGTCGCCACCAGCTTCACCCCGTACCTGCATCTCCAAAGTGTCTGTCCCAGATGACCGCCTGGAGCAGGTCAGAACCGTCCACGTTGAAATGTCGTCATCTGCTTCTCTCCTGCTCTTGTTGATGATTACTGATCAGTGTCTCTATATTTGATTGACTGGTGCGTTAACCCGGCCCAGACTGACTATGCTTCCTCCTGCCTGGCCAAGGGTCGGCATCACACCTGAATATAAAGCACGACTCTAGGTTTACGTTTCACTTTATTTCTTTATCTCACAGTAAAATTTCGTTGCGGTATAACCAACCTACTTACAGAAAGTGCCTATTTCCCGAGGGTCCAGTATGACGAAATACCAAGCGAATCTAACCACCTCGAGAAATCAAACGTCACCGTCACCCCAACGCCTTCCTCTTGAGAAGGAAGCCATCATTGTACATTCCTGCACCATGGATTAGGTTGGCCTGTTTTTGACCTTCCCACAAATGGCATCGTACGCCGTGCACGCTTTTGCGTCTGGCTACTTTCAGTCACCATGATTTCTGTGAGATTTATTTAGCTGTCTCACGGCTAAGTAGCATCAGCCTTTTTCCTCGCTGTGTAATATTCCACTATGGACTACGCCACAGTGTTTTCACCCAGCCTTATGGATCCACATCGGCTTGTGTTCAGGTTTGGCTGTGGCGGAGAAAACCGTGATGAAATGCTTGTCTGTGTCACGTGATGCTCATCTGTCCCTATTCCAAACGAGTGAAGGGTTCCTGCATCGAAATACTCTTTAATAGCTGATCCTCAATTTACAGAAAACCTGACTGCTATTCAGAACAGCGAGGGGCTCATGAAAAAGCGTAGCCAATCCCTCCTCTCCCCTTTTTAAGTCTCTCGAAACTTCCCATTCGAATAGAAGAGGAACGTATTTCATGGGAAAATCAAAGAAAGGGAAGAAGCATCGATGCGAATATTTAGTCCGAGGTTCTGGGTGAGAAACGAGAGCTCTGTCGTCAGAGCTAATGTTCCTAAGTACATTTTTGTGTTTTTAAAGGGCTATTAAATTTTCGAAAATGTCTTTTTCTGATGATAAAGTAATACACATATTCATTACAGAAATTTCGGGTCCTGCAACTCAAGGTAAAAAGTAAAATTACCTATACTCTCACTTTCAGAGGGAGCCCCTGGGAATGTCATACATTTTTACATTTTTTATGTGTACATATACATTTTAATATACATTTTTTAATGCATTTATTTTGGATTTTTTTTTTTTTGGCAGAGTAACTTGAGGAATTACTTTCAGAAATATTTCGTTCTCATTGTTGCATGGGGCAATAGTTTTTCTTTTTCTTGGGAGCTGAGCTGCTGGCTAGTCTGGTCCGTATGTCGTATGTCAGAGTTGTAGTCACCCTGAGATGTTCACCTGCCTCTTGCTCTTCCCCCTCCATCCCCTGCCCTGGCCTCTCATTTGGCATCTCCTGCTACCTCATAGTCTCTGTGGTCAGCTAAATGATGGACCCCAAAGATGTCCACGTCCTAATTCCCAGAACCTGCGACTGTTGGTCTACGTGACACAGGGACTCTGCAGAAGTGTTCATGTTAAGAATCTGCAATGGGGAGATCTTCTCGATTATCCAGGTGAGGCTTAAAGATAACCACAAAGGTCCTCCTAAGAGCGAGGCGAAAGAATTAGTCGCTGGTACGAGACGTGTGACGGAAGCAGAGGGAGAGACGTGAGATTTGAAGACGTTATGCTGCTGGCTTTGAAGGCAGACGGAGGGGGCTGTGACCCAGAGGAGATGCAGGCGCCTCCAGAAGCTCGAAAGAGCAAGCGCACAGACTCTCTCTGAGCCTCTGGAAGAAACACAGCTCTGGGGCCTCGCTTTGGACGTCTTACTTCCAGAATAAATCGGTGGGGTTTTTAAAAATCGATACGCTCTTGTGAACGAAAACGCATCGTCCCCAGCTGTTAGCATCGTACGTTCTACGGGTTTTGGCAAGTTTGTAAGGTCGCGTTTCCTCTTTACGGTATCATGCAGAGTATTTTCACCGCCTTGAAAATGGCCTGCGCTCCACGTGTGCCTCCCTCTGTCCCTCCCCACTCAGCCCTGTTGACGTTCGACCTTTTGGCTGTCTCTCTAGTTTGCCTTTTCCAGGACATCCTAGAGTTGGACTCCTACAG